GGATAAAAATTGTGTAAAACTCTAAAGTTGAGGGACCAAATTTAGCATTTAACCAAAAATAAATTTTAATTTTAATTTTAACAACTAATCAATTAAATTAATATACTTAATATTAATATTAACTAAAATTAATATAACTTAAAAGTATATTAATTATATACTTAATCTGTAACCGAACTTGTACTCTACCAGCACAACTTAGCACGCATTAAGAAAATCTTAGGGCCTGTTTGGTGTGGTTGGTGGGAGTTTTAGCTTTTTGAGTACTGTTATGAGTGATAAGTTTAAATTTTTATTGGAGGGAAAATAGAGTTTTAACTTTTAAAAATGTGAAAAAGTAAGTGAAAAGTAAGTAAAAAGAGAGTTTATGAAAAGTTTGGATTTGAAACTTTTGAACTTTAAATGATCAAAAAACCTAAAACCGTAACTACGGGCCTGTTTGGTGTGGTTGGTGGGAGTTTTAGCTTTTTGAGTACTGTTATGAGTGATAAGTTTAAATTTTTATTGGAGGAAAAATAGAGTTTTAGCTTTTAGAAAGGTGAAAAAGTAAGTGAAAAGTAAGTAAAAAAAGAGTTTATGAAAAGTTTGGATTTGAATATTTTGATTTTTTACTGTTTAGGATCTTTTTAAAATTAAAAAAATATTTAAAAACATTAATTTTAAAAAAAATTAATTTATAAAATATGAATAATATCAAAAAATTAAAACACTTGAGAAGTTGTACCAAACGGACCTTAAAGTCCAGACCCGTGAACACCACTGGCTACTCAACCATAAAATCATGTTAGATAGGCCCGAAGCCCCGACTAACCTGTATTGCGTTATTGGCCGTTGGCCCATGGACACAAACATAAAATAAAAATGAACCCAATGTCAAAGACGCACATAAGACCAACCTAAGTAAACAATTAACGTGTCATTTAAGTATTTTCATTATCATTCATAATATTTTAATCATAAAAAATGTCTTGAGTTTTTGCAATGACTAAATTACAATGCATCTGATTTTTTT